TGGTTGTGGTTTCAGTTCCCTTATCAAGGCGGATGTAGTTTGGTAAGATACCAGTCTCCAACAATGACTGCAAGTACCACTTACCAACAAATACTGGGTTGGAATTTGTTGTCCATACTTTGAGCCAAATTAATTTTCTGCTGGCAGTATCGATACACCCATATATTGCAATAGGGAAAGTCGAACTTTGATACCCCATCATCTTGTCGTGTCCGTCCATTGAATATGTCCAATTTGGTCCAAGAGTTACAAAGTGACCTTTGGGGTTTTTCTTCTTGGCACCAGGAGCTCTTCTAGCTAAGCCATCCGGATCAAGATCGAACATCAAATCATGAACACGAGCTCTAGGGACTTTAACTCGTACTTCTGGCGTATCTTTTGGGTCATCGCCCTATAACCAAGCATTACTCCTGGGCCATCAAGCTCTTTCCTAACTGCTTCCCTTGCAACGTCCAGAGGTACATCGCGATCAATATAATTTATTCCAAAATGTCCCAATCTACGATCTAGAGTTCTCAAACTCCACTTATAAATGCAATAATTCTTTTTCATAAAGTCGAGAATCTCCAACCGCTGCATGTTCGTTGCTACGTATTTCTTCAAATCCTCCTCCAGTTTACTGTCACTTTTCCAAGATCCTCTCTCGCCCGCCATGTTGTTTTTTTAATGCGGTTATGCAATAAACAGTATCGCTGGCTCAGAAAATTAATTATTTGTAATCGCATCTAATTATTTTTTGGCAGTTGGCAGTTCTGGGCCACGTGGAAAAAGTTTTGTTTTTATTTTAATAAGCTTCATGTTTTTACATTAAAATTAATTTTATAAAAGGTTTAAATTTATTTGAAAAAAAAAGTAAAATTAATTTGGCAGTTCTGGGCCACCATAGCTACCTACCTTTTCGTTATTGATAGTGGGTAATATTGGCCAATGGATAATATCGGCCGTGTTCAACGGAATAACCTGAAAATCGACGAGTGTGAAGTAAATGACACAGTAAACAAGTAAGTCCACCAATATTTCAAATCAAGTGTGTATTTAGGCGCTTTTTTTACAATATTTTACAATATATAAAGCCAGTATACTATATCGCATTGTTATGATGTTTTTATGTCATTATATCAAACTAAAACTACCCCCAAATCACACTTAATACATAAAGGAAACTAAGTAAGTTATACTTTATAATTTAAAGTCATATTCAATGCAAAATATAATAAAATTAAAAAATAAATAAATACCCACACAGAGCCTGGGCGACCTGTGGTATGGCGAGTCTATATTTTTGTTCAGACAATCGCGTGAGCTAACCCAACCGGAAAAACGACTAAAAAAACGTCAAAACAATGCGACGTTTCCATCGTATGACCTTACAAATGGCCTATGTTTTTTACAAAAAGCGTGTGCACTATTTATGTGAGAACACGAGTTTATGGGAGGGGGAGAGAAAATATACTCGCTATACTTATCGCGACATATCCCTGATAAAATATAATTGAAACCAAATCTGCCAAATAAGCGGCACCGGCTATCGGGCATTACCTGAACGATAAGCGACTGTAAACAATGTGATTTAGACCTAAATACTTTCAGCCAATCGTACAGCTTTAGCTAAGGTAGTTTTATAGGCCTAGGCTTGCTTACTCGAAGAAATAAACGCTTTTGACGAGCTATTTGGTTATTTATTGAACTACATGACTCGACGCTGATTATATTAGCATACGGTTATTCCGGCCAAATAGGGGTTACGAAAAAATTCGTCAAAAATTCAATTCTAAGTTGCCCCAAAATTTTATTTGATCAATAGCAAGCGAAAACATATTTCTTTGATCTTTGAATTTTTTCTCTGGATCGATGTAACAATGGAGATATTCGCTGCCTAATATGGCATATAATAAAGAGGTTCGAATATAATAAACATTAAGAAAATCTGTAAAATATTCACTTTTTACAGAAATATCTCTAAATTTCGTCTGGTAGTCAATAAATATCTCTAATTTATAAAACGAAATCACGTTTTGTGAAATATTCCCATTAACGCGCAAAATAGAGTGATTTTGGTAGTGCCGTAAAATGACCTCCAAAAATCGAACGTGGCCTGGGAAAACCAATTTCGACGTCTTTCTCCTTCAATATTTATCCAATTGAAATAAAACTTTCACAACATTAATACTTCATATAGGCCTATATTCTAACAAAGTTTGAAGGATTTTGAACTTTCTCATTTTACACGTCTTACCTGACTACAACCGCTCTTAAGGGTTGTTTGAAAGAAATGTAAACACTTTTAAGATGAAAATAAACTTTGCTAATGTATTCTTTGGCTCCAACACAAAAATGTAAGAAATTTTGTTCTCTGCCATTGCCGCGGTTGTGTCACTCCCCATTGTATTAAAAACAGTTTGATATATTTTTTCTTTTAGACACGCCAAGACTGATTTGCATACAGCATATAGAAGACAAGATAGATCCAGACAATTGACACGTATCACACGATGATTACGACACTCCATCTCAAACTGACGTCCAGTTATCCGATATTACTGTTAGAGTGGACGAAATCGTGAACAATTTGCGCGATTTAGATGTAACCAAGGCACATGGTCCTGACGGAATTCACCCTCGCTGAAGGACTGTAGTGAACAAGTTGAACCAAGTTTGTTGCGTTATTCAATCATTCTCTGAACCGCGGCAGAGTACCCATAGAATGGAAGGCTGCGAACATCACACCTGTTCATAAGAAGGAGTCAAAAGAAGTAGCTGAGAACTTTCGTGTTATCTCGCTGTTGATTCAAGATTCTCGAATGCTCTGTATGCAGCAATCTGTCCAACCATATATCCCATTTAATCACTAATGAACAAGATGGCTTTATCAGAAACCGAACCTGTGTGACACAACTTCTCTGTGTTTTCCACGCTATCGGCAAGAGCTTGGACAAGAGCATCCAAGGTTTTTTATATTTGGACTTGGTCAAAGCATTCGACTCAGTGGTTAGCGCACTTGCCTTTCACGTCTAAGGTAGCTGGTTCAAGTCTCAGTGAGAACTTCTCAATGTGACTCGAACCCAGTCCTCATATGAAAAGAGTAATAGTCAACGCTCTGCCGAAAGTCGTGGGTTTTCTCCGGGTACTCCGGTTACCTCCCACAGGGAAAGTTGACAGGGTGGGTTAGGCACATAGGTCAGGCGGCAGATCATTAATGAGGTATGCATGACTAATAGCAGCTGCTCAAGCGCCATTTGTAAGCTCAAAGTGTACCTCGGTCTGCTTCACGTCAGTCCGGTCCTGTCTATTCACAATGTAACCAGTCACTGAAAAGCCCTGATAGGGAGTGTGCTGTGAAATATCTGTATCTGTACATTCTCCTTAACGACGACTACAATTATATGGAGTGAATGGAAACTTGTTGAATTGGTTCACCGACAACCTGCATTAGGTCGTTTGCTGCGTCCCGATGTCGTTCACTTTTATTTCACCCATCTTGGAACTGAAATATTTTTACGGAAACTAACACTTTCGAACACGCTGAGTTCAAGTCCGAAAAGTTCCCGGTCCGCAGACCTACAGTTTTCTCACAAACTGCAATTTTATCTTCACTAATTTCACGACAACTTTTTTCATTGTTCAACGACACGGATCGATGACGACAAACGATTATGTCACTTAAAAAGACCAATTTCTATTAACCAGTCTACCTTTTAACGAAAGACCGGTTTTGCTCGACTCATGAGTTATGTTATATTATGCGTGTTGGACGTAAACAACATATCTTGTCTACAACTTTGGTACAGATAAAGCTCTCTGAAATCCTCAGTTCTGGCTCTATCTCAATAAAATCACAAGGACGTTAATGCTAAGTCTTTTGGCTATGTCTCTGGGATGAGAAATAACTCTTTTAACGCGATCAAGGTATTTAAAACAAAAGTAACACGAAGCCAACGGAACGGCAAAGACAACACTAAATGAAATATTGTCGATGGGTTGCTGGTACAAGACTTACGACAGGATTACTCTTATTAAATAATCTTAAACTAGAAGAATAAATGGTCACATCAAAGACAAATATCAGTGCCAAAGTATAAAATCTGCTCTGTAAACTTACGACGAAGTGGAGAAATGTGGGCATGAGCTGTTTATTTGGTGATTATATACAACGTATATGAAAGCCCTCTTTCCAATAATACTTGCTAATCGCACAGAATAACACCAACTGATATAATAGTTCAAATGCAATGATAAGTTACCTCTTGAATTACGTCTCAAAACCTGTGTTGGAAATTTAAATGCTGACCCATTACATAACATTACCGTTTTACATCGTTGTATAAAACATTTTGATCGCATGTAAGGAATTCTTTCTCATCCCAGAGATATAGCCCAATGACCTTGTGATTTTATAGAGATACAGCCAGAACCGAGGATTTCAGAAAGCTTTATCTGTACCTTCTCAAAGTTGTAGACAAGATATGTTGTTTATGTCCAACACGCATAATATGACATAACTCAAAATGATTCGAGGAAAACCGGTCTTTTGTTAAAAGGAAGACTGGTTAATAGAAATAAGTCTTTTTGAGTGACATAATAGTTTGTCGTCATCGATCCGTGTCGTTGAACAATGAAAAAAGTTGTCGTGAAATTTGTGAAGTTAAAATTCTAGTTTGTGAGAAAACTGCAGGTCTATAGAGCGGGAACTTTTCGGATTTAAACTCAGAGTGTTTGAAAGTGTTAGTTCCCATAAAAATATTTCAGTTCCAAGACAGGTGAAATGAAAATCGCTTTCTAGGCACTTTTCGAGGTCACAGCATACGGCCTACCTGGCCGTGTACAGACAGTCGTTGTACATGGTGTAGCTTCTGTTTGGGAGGCTGTAATGTCTGGTGTTCCTCAAGGAAGTTTACTTTGTCCTAAACTTTTCGTATCTTTATCAACGATTTCCCTAAAGTTGTGTTTGATACATCACAGACAACACTGTATGCTGATGATTCCAAACTTTACAAGAGCATAATCCTGTCTCGGTAGCTGTGAAACCTTGCAACAATCCCTAAATTGTCTGCAAATGTGGAGCTATAACAACAACATTAGTTTGAACGCGTCGAAAGGTGAAGTATTGACAGTACCCTGAAAAAGCAATCCACTATCAATGTTTTTATTACCATCTTGGAGATACAACACTGGCCCACGTTAGAAAATAAAAAGACCTCGGATGTATTATTACCAACCACCTCACTTGGGATCAATACGTTCTTACGTAGAACATGCTCCAACACGAAAGTGCGGCGTTCTTTGTACCTCTCCCTGGTGAAGTGCCACCTCGATTACGCTACCCAACTCAAGTCTGGTCTCCAGCACTCAATTCACTGAAGATCAAAATGGAAAATGTTCGCAGAAGGGCAACGAAGTGGATCCTGAAGCAACGATAAGGTGAACAGTCGTACAAAGAAAGACTGGTGACCTTGCAGTTATTGCCCCTATGTTACGATCGCGAAGTAAAGAATTTGGTTTTCTTTTAGGACGGGCATATAAAATTGGATATCAATAACTTTGTTGCCTTTGTTACCCACGGACGTACTAGGTTAAGCGAAGCGAGAACTCTAAAGACTCCGTCCTGCAGCACAAGCACCTTCTAAGGATCGTACTTCAACCGTATGGTCAAGCTCTGGAACAGTATTATGACCACTTCCACTTCTCGAAGCTTTCCCAGCTTATCAATGTTTAAAACGTTGGCTAGAAACATATTTAGTTTAGAGCTGAACCGAACCGTTGACGTGGACATGACGTGCACATGGAGTCTAGTGCATGCAGGACTGCTCTAGCCATAGTTCATAGCGTAAACTAATTATTTAGAAGTAAAACGTTCAAATAGGAGCGGATGACGATGTTTCGTGCGTCATCTCAACTAATCACTCCAAGAGAGTTGACTAGTCGATCTCCAAATCATCATTCGCTCCTATTTGACCGTTTTGCTACTTTGAATTCATTCTTTAAGACGTTTACAATACATATATACTTATACATATCTGTTACTACTTATTAGAGAAGGGAGGTGCCTTGCATGGGACTCCTATTTTGTCTCGTTCGCTCCTTCCCTTTTGAGCCAATTGATATTGTACTACTTATGTTAATGTAATTTCTGGTACGAATAAAATTGTTAAATCATAAAAAAATTACATGTGTTTTGGAAAATGCTTGTAATACTGCATTTGCGTAAGCAGGATCGGTATTATGAATATTTCGCCAAAAACAAGTGAAACATTTCACTAAATTTCAACAACAAAATGTAATGACAAGTATAACCGAACGTATATTAAAGACAAGGATCCTTGACAGGAAGTTTATTCAGTCGATACTGCATGGATCAATACCAGACGAGTTTTCCGTCTATTTGATTTAGAATGATTTGGCATCCAAATCAAAGTATCCCTTCTGCCATGGCAACCAAGGTACATAATTATTTTATGAATGCCTTATCATTTTGCACACATGAGGACGATGTTAGAAATTAAATTTCAGATTTTGATTTTTATATGTTGAAAAATCTATACGATCATAAGGGAGTCGAATGTCCTTTCTAGGGGTGAGGCGGGGTGATCAATGCGGAAAATAAGGGACATGCTGCAAAATAGCGACTAGCGGAAAGTTGAAATAATGTCAAATATCTACCTGAGCAGCAGTTTTATTGCCCAGTTCTTGCGCAATATCTTCGTAAATATTATCGGATAGACCTCGAGTTTGACACAGTTGTAAAATCTTCTTGTCATCCTCCATACAATAGGAATAGGTAGCTTTTATTATCGGTTGTTGCTTGTGTCTGAACTATCATTAAAGTGAGTGAAGATCCTTCATTACAAGGTAGCGATGGAACGGGAAACACATGTGCAAAATCGATCGCACGGTAGAAATAGAACCAATAAAATCAATGTAACAAAGAACAAACCATTAGAGAAAACCATATCAGAAAATTATATTAGCAAAAGATTAGGTGAAAAATTGGTATACGGAAAAAAATCCTGTCAAATGAAACCTCCGGGCACGAATAGTAGCTACTTCGTGAAACTCATTAAGAAAACACAAAAGAAATCATCAGGGCCGCCCAGAGGGTGGGGGGGCAAACGGGGCAATTTGCCCCAGGCCCCCATTGGAAAGGAGGGGGGGGGGGGGAGAAAT